TATTGGGATCATCTTCAGAGCTCAAACTGTTCGTCTTCTGTGTCATTGTGCCATTCTTGCATATCGTGTTGCGAGTGTAATTATAAATATTAGAAAAGACATTTCACCAAGCAAACCGTAAATTATTTAGTGTTAGAATAAATTGTTACTCAAATTTTGTTTTTTCATTAAATGATATTTTTGTTTTTTTGTTCTTACGATACGCAAGAACGGCACAATTACACAGAAGACAAACACTTTGAACCCTTAAGACGATTTCAATAAAGATCGAAACGTTGAAACGATAAAGAAAATGTTTTTCTGAAACCTACGTCACACCAGACCGCATCTCACGATTTCTGAATAATTATCGATTAACGGTTACTAACCACCACATATATTATTACTATTCACCTATTTAGTCTCCCTTCTAATCCACCCATTTCATTGGCTTAGAAGGCGTTATAAAAATATTTCCGCCTGATAGATTACCGATTATGTAACCATATTCAATAAAAGTTAATGCACGTAACATAAAGTTTTAGATTAATTAGAAATTATTTTGTGGCGACTTTTATACCACGAAATCAACACCTTTTGACGTACGAAAATTTATGTATTTTTACTAATATCACAATCAACACCTAAACACTATAAAGCACGTGATATCTGACTGAGAACAACATCAAGAACATGGGAAAATATCTACCATACCCACCACCGACAGAAAACTTGAAACACTGTCCGAGTCGGCAGAGGAAAATTATGTCTCCTGTCTAAATCTGAAGTAAATACAAGTTTTTGTTTGCATACAGAAATTATTTCAGCGTGGCTTTTTTTGTGATGTGACAACAATTATTGACGGTATGGGTGATTGTGTCAACAGTAGGGAATTATAGTACCCAATTGATCTATTGATTTTGGTAGACTAGTTAGTATTGTCAGGGATTGACTCACTGACTCAATAATCCCCTGATATTTCTCTCTCATCACTGACGCCTGCATGGATTGTTCAAGGATAAAGAATTAACGGATCTAGAGTAAGCCGGACAAGAAGACAAACACATTGAGCCCTGAAGATGATCTCAATAAAGATAGAAACGTAGCACGAAAAAGAAAATGTTTTTCTGAAACCTACATCACACAAGACGCATCTCACGATTTCTGAATAATTAATAATATATTGGTTCAAAATTATTAATTATTAATAAAATATTGGTCTTATGGAGAAATCGTATAAAATTTTAAGTGTAGCCGGATTATGGAAATTTTCGCGTAGCATGTGCAACATGGGATTTACAAACATTGTTTACATTTAAAAAATACATGTAGGATGTGGAAAGTGAATTTATACAATGCAAAATATATTTTTTATATTCAATCAAAGTATTTGTACTCAATCAAAGTGTTTGTCTTCTGTGTAATTGTACCATTCTTTCGTGTCGTGTTGAGAGTGCCAGTGCGATATTACTGTTTTTGAAGGGGTGGGGCAGGAATTTGGTATAGAAAAGACATTTTTGTATAAGGCGTCGACTTCTTTGAGGTGGAAAGAGCCGATGAAGGAAAAAAACGTTGGTAATGGTTCGAACCAGTAATAAACCATCGAACAGCAATAAAATATTTGAGAAAATGCATAAAATTATAAATCTCAGGTTCTTACAAATTTTAGTCTAGGAAGAAATAGATTCTAAAATGTTATTTGCTTGTTGTACTACAATAGTTGTACTAATTTGCGTTTGAAAGTTTATTGGCTGTCTATAATGATACCAAGATCTTTAACGTTCTACGGTCTAATTTGGAGCGAGCGTGGTGTACCTTTGTTAAATTAGAAACGGTAATAATATGTAATTTTTAAAATAAAATATTACAAAAAATTAAGAAAGTTTAAGGATTTGTGGCTAAGTTGTAGTGACAAATAATAGATGCTAAATGCTAATACGATTTTATAAATCACAAATGGATAGTTTATTAAAAATATGGAACTAGTGACAAGTTATTGATGTAAAAATGGAAGAATTTCCTTCCGGCTTAGAAAGGGGGATTAACTCTTTTGTTGTACTGGGTCTTTCGCTTTCACGCCCCTTTCTCCTTATTCTGATGTCAAAGTTTTATTTATTACTAGTATGGAGCAACCCAATACTGTATAACGTAAATCACTTCTTGTTAATATATCCCGTAAAAATTTATTTTAATTTGTTCATAAAGGAATATTGGTGTACTAGGATGTAGTTGAACAGGTCCAATTAATTGATGTTTGAAAGGAAATTACGTTTTAGATTTTAGAAAAAACTTTTTATTAACTGGCCGTGAATTGAGGGAGGCGCGGACTGACGTTACCCAGGATTTTCCCTATAATAAAGTATAACTAAGAAAGCAATATGACGTAGATTCACTCTAGTTCGGATTAAACGATAATAGTCTATTGCATATAAACATATGCGGAATGTATCATCGTCTATGTTTCACCCATTTTCTTCGGAAACCATTAACTTTAGAAACATGTCGTGTTACACAAACCCAAATTAATTCTGGTTAGGAATCGCGTGGTGGTAACAGTGTTGACTCAACTTTCTCATCTTGCTTGGCAATGACAAGAACTTTGTTATTTTAAATGAGAATCCAATATTTTTGTCGATTTTACAGTTTATTTTATTTCACTTTACTGAAAGGAAAAGTGTGGAATGTTCGGCCATTTCTGAGTTATACCCAGCGGAAGAAGTGAGATGGGAGTATGATTTTTGTAACAAGATGTCCTTCCCCGTTAATTTGGAAAATTATTTGATTACAAAGTTATTTTAGGATAGTAATCGTTTATGAATACCATGGGGATCAAAGGGTTCCTTTCAAGGATAGCATATATTAATTTTTGAAAAAAGTACTCTTTACCAATAAGAATTTTTTATCATTATCGAGTCCATTTAATTTTTAAAATGACCCTCAGCTGTTATTATAAATTGGTCCAAGATTTGACGATTCCCTAAAATTTACGTTTATAATAAATGCTCCAATACGCCTCTTCCGTAAAAAAACAGTACAAACCTCGTGTATTTTAAATTTAATATGGGAGGGTTATCATGTTATTACAAAAATCATACCCATATCACACGTTTTCTTTTGTTCATCGAGCATACCAATAATTAAGTTTTTTAGTTGAGATAAAAAAGTCAGTGTCACCAGCGGGATTTGAAAAATGGCAAAAAGGAGAGAAAATTCAAAATGTGTTGTTGAGATGGGAAGTTAGTACCCGAGTGGATGGGTCTTAACCACACATTTTGAATTTTCTCTCCTTTTTGCCATTTTTCAAATCCCGCTCATGACACTCACTTTTTATCTAAAATAAAATCCTTAATTAATTGAAAAATATTAATTTGTCAAGGGGACCATGAAAACTAGTGAACATACCATTAATTTTCAATCCAAATACTTCATTCATGTATGCATTTCAAATCACGTCAATGGGCCCTCTTCCAAGTTGTTGTTCGAGCTAAAAATAACTTTTTTTTCTTTAGTGTAAAACATACAAATAAAACAATTATTGCACATCGTAAATCAATTTTGGAAGTTTCTGATTTTTTGTAGATTTAAATGTTCATAATATTCTTATATGGATTGTTAATTTGTTGTAAGTCCATTTTTATTATATTTATTTGTTTAGTTTCTGACAAGTAAGTAAACCTTTTCCCCATTTTTTGTTTCTATGTAGCCCAAATAATAGCTTTAAGAGAAACTTACAATCCATATCAAGAAAAGTATTTGTAGAACTGTTTCAACCTGATTATAGTTATAGTCATAAGCTCGAAATCCAGTACGTCGAAAACAACTTTCTGTGAATAGGAAATATAAAAGGGCGGCGGACATTATGTAAACGGTTTAATATAAATTGTGTTTGATGATTTTGAGAAAACGGCCCAAAAATATAGTAATTTTTTCAATATATGTATGCACACTAGGGAGTGACTAGAACTTATGTCGACACTCTGTTGTTCCGTTTTAAAAACCAAATACTGTAGTTTTAATTAATTAGTGGTTGTCAATTATAAGTGAAAATTTTTCTGCAAAAAACTATGTACGGCAATATAAAAATAAAATCTCGTTCACTGCAAGAGCCCTACAAACTACTTAAATAGGAAATGTGTGGTGTTAACTGACTGTTTGTTAATGATTATTTGGAGATGCGGTCTGGTGTGGTGTAGTTGTGACGACTTTTTTCACATCTTACATGTATTTGTAGAATATGTATCATTACGAATACATAAAATATGTATCATTACGAATACGCTGGTGACGTTCACTCACCCAGAGTAGCCGATTTTCTTTGTGGTGTATATTAATGTCAATACTTGTATAATTAATAGAATATTTTATATTGGAATATAATAATAAACTAAAATTGGTCTGATAGGTTTCAAATAATTTTTGAACTGATAGCATAAAACAAAATTATATTAAAATCGATGAGCCCAAGTTCATAGCCTCCAAATGAGAGTAAAGAAGAAATCTACCAGATTCTATTTTCGAAAGCATATGACAAATACGGAGTTTGATAAAAAGGAGTTCATTTTTAACTTTGATTAAGAACTTTTTTCTGATTTGCGTATGAATAATAGTTAATGCAATTTTTTTATATTTGATATCTAAGTCGTCATCCGTAATAGTACGATGTTCGCAGTAATAATCATTCGAAAATGCAAAAACAATTATCTAGTTTTACACGAAAAGACACGAGTAAAGCAAAATTAATATTATTATTAACGTATATTGATTAATTTAAAAAGTATATTTCTAATGAAATGGATATATTTTAAACTTTTAAAAACTAGAATTTGAACAAGAGGCCATGATGCTTAGTTCCTTACATGGGGAAAGGATGGTCAGGTAAGAAACCTGGAAGTTAGGCCACGCCTCCTCTCCCCCTACCAAGGGCAGGTGTTAAAAGGGCTTTTTCTACAAAATTTCTACTATTTGATTGCACGTCGTTGAACAACTGACATCGTCAACTACCTCGTAGAAGCCCATTTTCTTCGATTCAAAATCAACATGTCTGAAAGGTACGTGTGGTATTACTTTTAACCAATTTCCAAATTCTGTAAAGTGCATATCCAAAAATCAAACTTTCATGTTCTACCAAATAGTGAGGGTTTTAATGCGTACGCACATTTATTTATTTCAATACATAACAATATAATTTGTAATTTTAGAACGATCGCCGAGTCGAAATTGAAGAGATTCCTTCTGTACGGCAGCGAAGAGGTCGTATATTTCCCCGGTAGCAGAGTTCAATACGGACATTACTTGGGTGCTAACTTAGCTTCATTGAGAAACCTGCTGAACCAAGTCGATAAGCAGAAGATCTTCGATTTGGTCAAGATTGTGCAAAATGAAAAGCTAGCTTCACACATCTGTATAGTGCCTTTAGTAATCTCCGAGTGCTGTAAAATATCAGGTTGGAAGGAAGAGGCGTTGGAGTTTGCTTTGACGGTTCTTCGAACAGACAAGGAATTCTTGATGTTCTGTAAATTCTCCTACGAAATTTTACCGGACATTGGAATTGGGCCACTCGTCACAAAATTCATTCGAGAATGGTACCGAAGGCTGCATTTTTGGGAACTGGTCGAAATAGTGAGCGAGAGACCTTGCTGCTACGGATGGTACCATAGAGACGTCATAAAATTGGCCAACGTCAATTCTCCCTGTCCACCTAGAGGAGCGGCTTTCGCTTACGCGACTGGAGGAGCGGAGTTAATGAACCAACTGTACGGAAACGACGGAGAGGCTCGGGAAGTCGTCCAACATCTGAACCGAGTCGAGGCATTCAAAAATGAAACCGACACAGATAAAGCTGTCATGTTAGTATTACTCATATCCACTTATTAATATTAATAATAGTTTTGTTTTATAATCGAAATGTTTCTTTGATTTTGCAGAGAGATTGGAGCTTACATGCACACCATTCACACAACCAACAAGTCACTTCTTGGAAACAAACAAGTTTGGAAAGCCCTTATAAGACAGATGAACCTCCAGGAATTGCTCACTAGACTCCCGACTATACAAAAGAAAGGGTTTCTCCGGTGCCCGGTCCTATATTCGTGGGACCCTCATTTCGTGCCTCATCTATGCGACCGTTTAGAAAGTCTGGGTGCAGTCCTCCAGTCGAAAATAAGTCCGAGCAGGTCATGCATCGAGCATCAAAGATGGAAAAACAGTTCTCAGTGAGTATACAAATTTCTGCTATTTCTATTAATTGTTGTCTCCAAACCGTTTTTATTTGTATTCCTATTTTCCAGGCTGTTCTGCAAGAGGTTTTCCAAGCCCAAGTCAGTTAACCAAGACATCCTGAACGCGCTGAAAAAACAGATGGAGAAAGCGTTGAAGGTGTGTAAACGAAAACGATTTTTATCACACAATTTGCAATTACTTTTCATATTCATCATTTTTATATTTGTTTCTTTTCTCTCTCACAGAACAATGCCAAAATGACGACCAAGAACATTACAGTTATCGTCGATTGCCACAATCTGTCTTCATCTTATTGCAGCCATAAACGTTTTGTTCAGGCAGACATGGCGGCTGCTGTGACTGCCTTGTACTTCGGAAACACATTGGCCAAGACCAAGGTTCTCATTTTCAAAGGGATCAGCCATCAATATTTACAACCTCGCACGTCTTTAGACGAGGTTCTAAGCCTCATTAGCATCGATACAGGGGTAAGTTGTGTTTCTCTCTCTCTCTTTTTTTTTTTTTTTTTTTTCAATCACCTATCACTGATTTATAATTTATTCATACTCCTTTTCAGGACTGTTCAAGTACCCCAGAGATAAGCCTTTATCTCAGCTCGAAGAACGGCGAGACTCTCGATACAGATCTTTTCGTCGTGATCGGGGCAAACGTCAACTACGAGAATTATATGAAAAACGTTGAGGATCATCGAAAAGAGAACCCACGAGCTCCAAAATTTGTCTTCTGCAGCCTGGGTGGCATTCCGACCGACCGGACCTTTAAATACGACAAAGATGTACTTTTAACGTCAGGTTTTGATGATAAAGTGTGCCAAATCATCACTGCCTTCTCCAAGTTTTAAAGGAACTCTGGACAGAAATTCAGGGAAATTTTAAATGTATGACAAATTGTAAATAACACAAAGCATAATTTTTCAAAGATTTTTATTGGCTCGGTTTGTGTTTATTGTTTTGTTTAATATTTGTTATTATTTGTTCTTTGACTTAGCTTTTGGCTATCGATGAATAAATATGTATTTTTTAAAAATTGTTTTTCCTTTTTACCTATCCTATTTCACTTACTCTATTATAAAACGTATAAAACATAGAATGGCAAATGTAATATGTTGCGATTATACAGGCTGAAAGACTTAAACCTCAAAGCAGTAATTTGTTGTTTATTTCAAAATATCTATGTCTATATTAACACACAATGTACGGCCTGACTTTAAGTACGGCAATGATGTACTTTTAACGTACGGTTTTCATGATAAAGTGTGCGAAGTCGTCGCCTATTTTGGAAATTTTAAAGGAACTCTCCGAATTTATAAATATTTGACGCACTGTAAATAATTCCATGTATAATCTTTCAATTATTATTATGCGGTATAATTTGTACTTGTTCATTATTTATTTGACTTTTCTGTTAGCTATCTATGTAATAAAATGTTTATCGTTTAATTTAGTTTTGGTCTGTTTTCTTTCCACGTGTGTATGTTATTTTACAATCTAGATCAAAGGTTTTATATATTAACATATATAAACAAAAACTAGGCTAATGGAATACAATGTAGTTATTATAATTGGTTAAAAATCACTCTTCAACAGTAATTAGTGATTAAAAATATATAAAACAGTATCTAAGATACGTCTGGTCCAGATCAACTGATAGTTTCCTTAACTGAAGAAAAAAAAAAAGTTAAACATTTTTTTTAAAATAAGATTTCTTGATTTGACTATATTGTATTTAGGGATACAGCAATGAAAAATAAATGTGCTAATTAATTGCGTGAACAATGATACCGTTAAATAAATAAATATTTATCAAAGTATACAAAAAACGTGTAATATTTTATCCGATTTTGCTTTAAAAATCTAATATATGAATTGAATTAGCTATAATAATCAACAAAACAAAATATCCATAACAATGATGTGTTTTAATTTTCGAAACAATATAGAAAATATTGTAAATACATACATTATAAATATTATACAATATATAATTTTGTTTAGACACAATTGGAGATGAACGTAAAGTATTTCTACGAATAAAAATGTATTAATTACATTTCATTAAAAAATTATTTTTGTAACTTAATACGTATGTTATGAATTGAAATATGAATTTTACACCTTTGAGAATCTAAATATTCTTTGTAGTTCTTGACAAACCTCCTTATTTTCGACTATTTCACAGGAGTTATAAATTTTGAGATTTCATTAACATAAATTTTATACCAACTTTAACATACTTTACATAGAACCTGTTTTATAAAATGTATTTATTTAATTCTATACATTTTTAAGCAGTGAAAAATTTAAGTAATATAGGATATGTAGGAGTTTGTTCCGATTTCACGAAAACTTTCAATCTTTAATGTAGGTCCGGTTAAGGGAATATAAAATGGGCATATACTTTATGAGCGTCAGGATTTAAAGAATAACAGATTTAAGGGATTTGTGGCGTCCATTTCACAGCTGTCAGCTGTACAACCGGGCCTTCGGCTCCCGGTATGACACAAGTTTCCCGCCACTTTGAAATTCCGATTTGTAGGCGCTAACATTCTACAATCGCTAAAATTACTTAATCGCTTATTGTTGTAAAACTAAAGATACAATATAGTCGCAAAAACTACAGAATAGGTTTCGCTGATGTAAAGATAGGAAGATGCAAACTTCACCTTTGTATCTTTATTATAGGCAGACGTATAGGTAGGAAAACGAACTACCGGCATGTGGCGTGACCGATGAACTTCCCATTAAGCCAAACCATCAGACTTTGGAAAGAGCTCCAAGTGGTCAGTTTAAATTAAATGTGATACGCTGTGCTGTTGTTTTGCCAATTGGATTTATTAAGATTCGGAATTTTATAAAATGTGGGATTGTGAAATTCGCTAATGTTCAGTTTTTCAATGTTTCATAATAAATTGAGATGATTTTGCTTTATTATGAATTACGTTTAATCTTACATTCTTTCTCTTTGACCCTGCCGGTGGAGAATTGCTGTTGGAATTGCATTTTGTCGTTGTTTACAAAGCCACGAAAACTGTAATTAATACCATAAATTGCTAACAGTACAGAAGAAGAAAGAACACAACAAAATAAAATAAATATATTTCTTATGTCACATACGTGCTACTAATTCATCAGAATATTGAATCAAGACAAGTATGAATTAGAGAATGAAGTCAATCTTTGCCATATTGTGTTCAAATTTACCAGCATGACAGTGAAATTGCTGGTGGACTGCGAGAAGAAGACAGGCTCATTTCTGCACATGTGTGTGTTTATGCACAAACATCTGCGGTTTTGTGCTTATAAAAATCAACAATTGTATACTGTTAGAGATCAAACTGAAGTAGTAGATATTAGTTTTGTAAGTTTTCTACTGTTCAGTATTACTTTGATGGTTTTGCTGTAGTATGAATTATGTTTAATCCTACATTCTGACTTTTTAACTGTCTGTTGTAGAAATGCATTTTGCTGTTTAAAATGGCACAAAAACGCCAATATTTTGTACGTAGAGTAATATTAATATTCTTACTAAAATGGAAAGGGGAGGATGTGCTAATATAACATATACCAATGGTAACAACAGAATGATTACAATTTCCAATTAAACTCGCTTTTCAGTAATGATACACAAACCCCAAGGTCAATCATTGCAATCATATGAATTGAATTTGGAGAATACATGGTTTTCACATGGACAATTATACGTTTGTAAATGTGCCAAATGGAATCACCCAAAACATTGTACATCCGTATTGTAATGTAATGAATTTTACGCTGAATACAACACTAATTCAAGTTTAATATAACATAATCCAAAATCAAAATAATATTGCATTTTTAAATATCAAATATGATGACTGAATAAAATCATTGATAGAAATGATGAATGATGGGGTGAGTGCGGTGTTCAATCCTTTTTAAAAAGATAGTAAGTTGTTTTGCAACAATCCGGATTTCGAGCCATTAGCTCATCACCAGGTTGAAGGAGAGCCGATACCCCCGCCAACACGACGTTCCAATGAGAAGCTAGGTTTTATTGGCGCTCAATTTTGAACGTGCGAAAAACGGGAATTATAACACAAGTAAATATTATATTAGTAAATACTGTAAGAAATTAATTATAACTTACTGATTAAAAAAATATAAAAAAAATTAGAATACTAACCTTAATATTATTAAATTATTATAAAAGTAATAACAATTAAAATAATTAATTTAATTATTTGAACGTTTAATATTATTTATGAACATATTTAAAATGGGACGTAGATCAAAATCTATTATATTATTAATGCATTTATCTCTATGTTCTATTTTACATTTTTCAATTTTAAATTTCTCAAATCAATCTAGTTCTCTCCCTTTCTTGAAACTATGTAACACTGCCGTATTTAAACTTGAATTGAAATTATGTTTTGTTTTTTTAGATGGTCCTTAAATTCCGAAAATTTGTTCGATTTAGGCAAGTGTTCTTTTACTCTCGTTTTTATTTCTCTACCGCTTTGTCCTATATGTTTAATATCGCAATAAATTACAATTGAGTTGATAAATCCCGCTTTTTGCCAAGTTGTCTACCTTTAGGTTTTGAGAGGATGTTTGTAAGTGAGCCCGTGCTTCTAAAAGCTATTCTGAAACCTTCTTGTTTAAAAATTTTACTAACTTTTTCTGATAATTCACAAATATATGGCAAACAACGGAAACCTAATGAGTAATTTGTGGTGGGGTGGCTGAGTCTTATTGTTGATTCTTTTAAAGTCAATTTTTTTATCCTTTTAACTAGAAATCAATCAATAAATAAGGTTTTAATAGTTAGCAAGTGTTAATGGAAGTTTTAACGTACAGTCTATGAGCCGAACGAAACCAGCAGCCTTTTGGGACCATGGGTGGGAAGAATCCGCTTGTACCATACTTTATTATATTTACTTGTGTTATAATTCCCGCTTTTCGCACGTTCAAATTGACCGTCATTAAAAATCCAGCTTCTCATTGGAACGTCACGTTGGTGGGGGTATCGGCAAATTCATGTCGAGAGACGTGGTTGTAGAACTACTTCAACCTGATGATGAGCTAAGTGCTCGAAATCCGGATTGTTGCAAAACAACTTACTGTCAGTAGGAACTATCTTCTTAAACAGGATTAAAATCATTAATATCAAACATTTAATTGTATAATTTATATATATGCTTCTGTCTGGAAATTACAATATGTATAATCAAAATAATGTGTTTTTATCATCCCCCTGGGCAACGCCGAGTTATATGGCTGGTATAATATAATAGATTAATGAAATCACTGCTACTTCTATGCGATCTCACGGATGATCTTATTTGTGGAGATGATGAAGTTTCATTTTCCAGAAATTCTGTTTGTATACGTTTTACTGTCATTTATATATGACATAAATGTGGGAATAAGCGACGTAATTATTCAATTTCATGTTATATTTAATTTGTACTTAGTAGGAACTTACATTCAGACAAACTGACAAAAACGATAAATCAACGTTGATTGATTCCCAAAGGGTATTGGCCTTGACAAGTGGAAGATTAAAATCTTACTTCTGACGTTTACAAACTTTTACTTTCGTTTGTTCGAATTATTTTCCAAGAGCCCCTCGTCAGCAGAGTTTTCCCACTGTTTTACTGTAACAGCCTGGTAGCACATAGTCGGATTGACAGAATCATTGATGTAAAGGCAAGCCGGCCGATAAATCTTCCGATAATAGTAAACGTGCCGAAAGGAAAAGGACTCAGATTGCGGGGATTTTCTTGAAAACAATAAATACACGTCGTTCAATGTCTTCATCCTTCATTTGTTGGAAACAAACAATGGTGATAAATTGGCAGAGTCAATTATTACAGCGTTGGTTGTCTTGAAACTTTATCATTCATTTGCAGAGTGT